ATAAAATATATTAAAATATATTATATGTATATATTATATATTATATTATATATATTATATGGTTTTATATTGTATGTATATATTATATTTGACTGACTACACATTTACTTATATAGTCACTACTATATATATATATATATTTGTATATATGGGATTAGCAATATTACCATATTTATGTAATATCAGTTAGATCAGTAAGAATGAAATATACATAAAATAAATATGATTAGTCTATCCTCACATATATATGTACATATATAAACATATATATGTACATATATATGTATATGGGGTGTAACTGAAGAGTCTAACAGCGTGTCATTCTGTTCTTCGCTGCAGATTCCTCTCCTCTTAGAAAATCCATTCCAGGAATTCTTAACAACTCAGTCAACAAAGATGGACTGATCCGGATCCAGACGTTCGCTCTGAGACGACACCAAATGCACTTTACTGTGGTCACAATTCAGTGGTAAATATTAGCACCACAGAGGCCGATGCCCTCGAGACCTCCTCCCCGTTCACCGACATCACGCTGCTTCCTGTAACATCCAGACGAGTCACTTCCTGTTGAAGAACTCATCGCTGATGCACTCGTATCAAAGACACGAAGCTCTGATCAAAGGTGTGCGAGGACACGGCGTCCCAAGGTTTAGTTGATATTATTTTTAGTCACTGGAAAAAGAAATAAAAACTTTGAACCCTGAACTAAAAGCCATCCACTGAAACCACATCCTGGTGTTTCTCAACCTCTGGTCAACCTGGCGACAGTGTGGCGTACGTGCAGCCCTGATGGGTTGTGTAACCTCTGAAGTTGGCAGTATCGTCTGACAGAGGTGAGGTGAGGTGAGGTGAGGTGAGGTGGGGGGGGGTGAACTGCTGAAGCTGCTGGGTAATATCTGTGCTGCTCCCTGTCACATCTCTGCAACCTAAGATTTAAAATTAAAATCAAGATTAAACTGAGGAATATGAGCTGTGGCTGTGTTTACATGTAAATCATGGTAGTTAGTAGTAATGGTGGTAGTTAGTAGTAGTGGTTGTAGTTAGTAGTAGTGGTAGTAGTTAGTAATACTGGTGGTAGTTAGTGATAGCGGTGGTAGTTAGTGATAGTGGTGGTAGTTAGTAGTAGTGGTGGTAGTTAGTAGTAGTGGTTGTAGTAAGTAGTGTTGGTGGTAGTTAGTAGTAGTGGTAGTAGTTAGTAGTAGTGGTGGTAGTTAGTGATAGTGGTGGTAGTTAGTGATAGTGGTGGTAGTTGGTAGTAGTGGTGGTAGTTAGTAGTAGTTAGTAATAGTGGTGGTAGTTAGTAATAGTGGTGGTAGTTAGCAATAGTAGTGGTAGTTAGTAATAGTGGTGGTGGTTAGTAGTAGTTAGTAATAGTGGTGGTAGTTAGTAGTATTGGTAGTTAGTAATAGTGGTGGTAGTTAGTAGTAGATAGTAATAGTGGTGGTAGTTAGCAATAGTGGTGGTAGTTAGTTGTAGTTAGTAATAGTGGTGTTAGTTAGTACTACTGGTTGTAGTTGGTAATAGTGGTGGTAGTAGTTAATAGTAATGGTGGTAGTTAGTAGTAGTGGTTGTAGTAAGTAGTGTTGGTGGTAGTTAGTAGTAGTGGCGGTAGTTAGTAATAGTGGTGGGGGTTAGTAATAGTGGGGGGAGTTAGTAGTAGGTAGTAATACTGGTGGTAGTTAGTGATAGTGGTGGTAGTTGGTAGTAGTGGTGGTAGTTAGTAGTAGTTAGTAATAGTGGTGGTAGTTAGTAATAGTGGTGGTAGTTAGCAATAGTAGTGGTAGTTAGTAATAGTGGTGGTGGTTAGTAGTAGTTAGTAATAGTGGTGGTAGTTAGTAGTATTGGTAGTTAGTAATAGTGGTGGTAGTTAGTAGTAGATAGTAATAGTGGTGGTAGTTAGCAATAGTAGTAGTAGTTAGTAATAGTGGTGGTAGTTAGTAGTAGTTAGTAATAGTGGTGGTAGTTAGCAATAGTAGTGGTAGTTAGTAATAGTGGTGGTGGTTAGTAGTAGTTAGTAATAGTGGTGGTAGTTAGCAATAGTAGTGGTAGTTAGTAATAGTGGTGGTAGTTAGTAGTAGATAGTAATAGTGGTGGTAGTTAGCAATAGTAGTAGTAGTTAGTAATAGTGGTGGTAGTTAGTAGTATTGGTAGTTAGTAATAGTGGTGGTAGTTAGAGGTAGATAGTAATAGTGGTGGTAGTTAGCAATAGTGGTGGTAGTTAGTACTACTGGTTGTAGTTGGTAATAGTGGTGGTAGTAGTTTGTAGTAGTGGTTGTAGTAAGTAGTGTTGGTGGTAGTTAGTAATACTGGTGGTAATTAGTAGTGGTAGTAGTTAGTAGTAGTGGTGGTAGTTAGTAGTACTGGTGGTAGTTAGTGGTAGTAGTAATTAGTAGTGGTATTTAGTAGCAGTTATGGTAGTTAGTGGTAGTTAGTAGTATCGGTGGGTGTTGGTTTAAACCTTTTCCAGTTTTACACTCAGCTGACCACAGAGCAGCTGAGGACGGGAAGGAAGTCAACAGCCTCATCAAAAGAGTCAACTGCTTCCTGCAGGACATATCTCACTGTCACCTCGGGTCACGGGAGAAGTGACCCTGAACTTTAATAACCAACAACAGATGATCCGACACGGAGCGACACGGCAGGAGCGCTGAAGAGACGGTGCTTTTTGGCCAAGGCTCTGGTGTCTCTGGTTTGTTTTGGGGCAGCAACAGAGCAACGTTCCCGCTGCTTTCCTGTTTTCTTTCCTGAAGTCGGTCTCAGGTTAGTGGGGACACGGACAATAAAACATGAGACGTTGGGCAGGAATCCCCTTTCATTGGTCCAAACAAAAGTGATTTGTGTGAAGGATCCGTTGTCTCGGTGGGAAAAGATTCTCGTCGTCTTGAATCTCCGCTGATGGAGATTTGGGTGAAATTGTTTTATTTTATTGGCAAAAGTGGAACGTTAAGACTTCGGTGTGTGTTCACAGTGGACGGGTGTTTTGGTTTGGTTCGATTTCAGTGGTTTTAGCCTCTGTGGTCCAGTGGTCCAGGTCTACTTTCAACAAAATTCGCAAGAATCTTGAATCGGAGTTGATTTACAATAAATAGATCTTTTATTATTACTCATATGTTACTGTGATATTTTATTTACTGATAAATAATATTTGATGTTCTATACCTATGTACTTCTCTAGCTGTCTATCTATCAATTGATACTGCTAGCTAACAAGGCTGGCTAGCTAATTGTTAAGTAGCTATCTCATCCAAACTTTCTATTTGCTGGAATATATTTTTCAATTTGTTGCTATATACCTAGCTAGCTGTTTATCAGCTAGCTATCTATCAATCTATTTATCGAGCTAGTCTGCTAGCTAGCTAGGTATCTATCTATTTGCTTATCTAGTTGGCTAGCTAGTTTGCTAGTATGTATCTATCTATACACAGTATATTTTATTGCAAAAACATCTATTTTTAATTACTACAAAACCATTGTGAGTGATGACAAATGAAAGGAACCACAACATTGATCTTGGAGGCCAGTAGGTGGCAGTCTTCTCAACATTCCTCTTTTCTCACCTTTGTCCCAGTCAGTGAAAGTAGATCAAATACTACAGGAAACAGTACCAACAGTAGTCAGACCAACGTCCCGACTACGGACGATGTGATTGGTGGAAACCCTCCTCTGGTCCTTTGATGACCTGCGGCGAGTCCAGGATATTATTTCAGAGTTAGCGGTGATTTCCTCGGACAATAGCTGCTCTCCATCCCAACATCAGTCCGCAAACAGATTTTTCACGTCGCCACCCACTGCTGCGGGAGTGTAATTGAATCAACATCAGGCTCCTGTGGCTTCAGAGGGTCATGATTTTCATATTGCTGATTTCTATCACGGTCCCTGACATTGTTGTCATGAGAGCAGCCGCCTCGGAGGGAGGAAATGAATAACTGTCTGAGGAGGAAATTGGAGTTCCAGACGATGGAGGTTTAATGTCTGTTACATGTACGTTATTTAGCGTACGTGCTAAAGTTTACAATAAACCACGTTGGTCACTGAGTGATGACGGTCCACGGCGAACATGTGCACCGAAGATTGAGTATTGGTGGAGCGACACAGAGGAGAAAATAATGTTCTGTGTAATTAAACCGAGTAATCTAACGTGGCTCGTGTAAACAAACTACTGATCACACAGTTGTGCAAGCAGATGCTGAGCCGCCCGCTGATTGGTCCGTCGCGGTGGGAGTTTCCGCATTCCGTGGAGAGCCGAGGAGAGAGGCGCAGGTTTGAGAGGCGGACGGACGGACACGTCTCTGGAGATACACGACTCCCTCCTTCTCTCTCTCTCTCTCAGTCATCCATTCATTACCTCACTCTCTCACGCGTTCACGCGAAATCTCAAGGGAATAAACACACCGACGCCCGAGACGCGAGATGCCTTACATGCTCATCAGTACGCAGATCCGCCTGGTGCGTATCCCGCATCCGTACGTGAACCGTGCGTTGATTTTAGGAACACACGCCCGCGCGTGCGCACACATTCACACGCTCCAGTCCAAGGTTTTATTTGTTTGTCAGTTTTTCAACCGGCATCTCTGCACTGACAGGTCGTCGTTACGCAACACGCCCGTGATATTCTGGGTAGTGGAGTCAACAAACAGTGAGGACGCTGTGCATATGGTTGTGTTTGAGTTTGTTGTCTTTCTTTCCTTTTTTTTTTTTTTTTTTTTTGGGGCCACGGTGCCCTAAATAGGAAGCACATGTTGCCCAGTGGTCGGCCTCTAGTTGTTGTGCACGTTCCCTCCGTGTGTACCGTCTGCAGCCGAATTCTACAGCTCTGAGAATCGGATCGTCTATTTTTAGTCCGTCCACAGATTAGGATCTGAACAGTGCTGCAGGTTTAATGCACAGGAAGTTGGTCACCTAACCAGCAGCAGGTTGTTGGGACGGTGAAGCAGATGTTTCCGCAAATTTAGGCGGAATCAGAAGTTCCCAAAAAAAAAAAAAAGAAAAAAGGATGGCCCACTGTAAAATTATATTGAAAGATTTGAAGGGAAGTATGTTTTAATTTAAAAAATAAAAAGTGTGAAATAATAATAACTGCACACATGTCTCATGGGTTTTGGGGGTTTAATTTGATTTAAGAGATCGTACGTTCATCCAGTGTCATGTTTATACCATCCGTTTTTTTTATAAACCCTAAAAAATGAAAAAAAAATTTTTTTCCAACATTAAATTCTCTTAACTCTTAACCCAAGTTTAACGAAAACCTGATGTAATTACTGAAGCGTCGCAAATGGTTTCTCTTTAATTCCATTTGTTTTCTGTTTTTTTTTAAAAATATTTTTTTTCTTAAATCTGAATAAAAATGTACGCACTTGATTTCAGTCTTTGGATGAGACTGGGGCAGAAGCCGCCCCCCCACCCCCCCGCCCCTAGGATGTAGCTCTACAACTGATGAAGAATTTAAATGATTGACGTGGATTCAGTTTGTGTTAAAACGTTTTGACTTTTTATCGGCTTTTACTTCAAGAGTTGCTAAATTTCAGAAGGCTCTCTCGAAACTCTGTTAAATCTCTTATTGAAAGTCTTACTAAGGTTTCGTAGGTATATTTGTTAAATTTGAAATACCGTATTTTTCAGACTAAGTATATTCATCCTTTTAGCCAAAGGATGGACTTTACAGGAGTAGCAGATATTGTTACACAAGCCTAGAGTGCCCTCTAGCGGCTGTCAGTGTGAAAATAAGAAGTGTGGAATTATATATTTTAATATATAAGTCGCACCTGAGTATAAGTCGCAAACAAAGGATGAAAAAATAAAGTATGACTTATAGTCCGGAAAATACGGTATATAGAGCTAGTATTTTCTCATTGTGCACATCCTCTAAAATACTCGGAGCTACTCTCCAGACAAAAGACAGATCACTGACAGAACTGCTTGGCGCGAGGGATATTATAGTCATCACCAAAACGCCATGAAAAATTAGAAAAATATATTTTGGCCTTAAATATTACGCATCCATTCCAGAAATGTGTTGCAACAGTTGGCCGGTTATTTACAGTGCCTTTGTTGGACGCTTCTTTGATGAACCGTCCGCTGCCTTCTGATTGTGTCTGATCGCTCTCTTGCAGGAAAACGGTCCAACGAATGTGGGGGACGAGCATTCTGATCCAGCTGTCATGAGTTACCTGGGAGCCAGAAAAAAAACCATGCTTGGAAATAACTTGTGAGTAGTGAAAAAGTGGAAGGTCGCTCATCGCATGCCGAGTGCATAAAATTAAGGTAGCAGCCAGGTAGCTTGTCATGCTAAGGCCAGATCTAAGATTAAAAACAGAGATTTTCATATCTGAGTCAGAGTTTGGTCCAAAAACTCCCCAAGGCTGCGCACACGCTGCCAGAAAAAAAAAAAAAATCAGACGCCTTTATTTAATAATTGAATTTCTCGGTCGAGATAGTCTTTAGAAAACTTGGTTTGGTCGTTTTTTTTAAGCCTGGTTTTAAATTCATTTAAGGACATTTGGAAATAGGATTTTAAAACCGATTGTTACACATAAATCCTAATCCCAAAGGTCTGAGACAGAGATGTTAATGTGACTCACTGCTAGGGGTGTATATTGGCAAGAATCTGATATGATACATATCATAATACAGGGCTACGATACAATGTATTGTGATATATTGCGATACCATAGACACAACAATAAATTGAGATTTTTTTTTTTAAATAATTTGATTTTATGAAATCACTCTGAGACGTTAAAGTTCTCCAGGGACCTTTGTCGTCCTTTGGACGACATTGATTATTTTGTCAACGTTTAACAAAGCATTGTGTACAAAGCTGCTTCCTGTGATGTCTGACCTTTAATGTGGGTCAGAGAGCGCAGGTGTGTCACGTCAGTCAACAGGAATCACTGAAAACCAACAACTCTGTGAAGCTCCATTTGTATATTTTACCAACATATTAATAATAATTCCATCATTTGGATTAGTCTCAAATAAAAACAGGTGTAAAAACACTGACATCTACGTGCTGTTCTTTGCCTTTCTGTTACAGCAATATACAGAAAATGTTATTTTTTATTATTGCGGAATGTTGATTCATCGAGATTAATTGTGGTTATCTACAGCCAACTGTTTTTTTCCACAGCCAATTGATGAGAAAAAAAAAAAAGTCTGTTTCAGCAATACAGAGGGACATAGCAATCTGAATTAATCGTGATTAATTGTGATAAAATCTAGGGCTATACTGTGATTAATCTGATTAAAAATGATATTTGTTGGCAGCACTTTTAATATTATTAGCATTATTATATACTACTGGGATTTTTACTTTGGTTAAGCTAGCAATATTATTAGCATTATTATATACTACTACTACAACTACTACTAATAAGTGGCATTTTCTGCCATAAAACTGGACAACTGGGATTTTTACTTTGGTTAAGCTAACAAAAAAAACAAACGTAAAAAAACCACTAACGTGCAGCGTCCCTAACAAAGCTCTTCAGAATCATTACTTGTTACATCTCTTGTCGTTTGCTGTTTTCAAACAATGAATGAAAGAATGCATTTTTGTCAAAATTAATCTATGGAATCTTTGAAAGCGTCCTTACAGCCGCCCCCTACCAGTCAACTGACTGTACAACACGTTTCCAATATAACCCAGCACACGAGAACTCTATCAACTCCCAGGTGGACTCAAAATGTGTCCAGATCGAGCTGTACTTCCATATTTAGGCACTTGGCGATTGTGTTTTTTCGGGTCTGGCAGTTAGCATGTACACATTGACGGCAGCTGAGGTCAGGTCACGTGGAGATCGGGGAAAAAATCCAACCTGCTGCTTTGCAGGTTTAGTATAAACCACCCAAACTGATAGAACGCAGATCAGGGATTGGTGTTGTCACTGGCAATCTGACTCAAATGCTGCTGGGAAACGAAGCAAGGTGCGAGAGGAAGTGAGCGGGCAACAGAACAATTAGCGTCGTTCTGCTTTTCCCCAGCAAACGTTGACTGTAAGACACAGAACTCCCACATCTGTGCGGAAGAAGAATGACTTTGTGTTTATGCTCGTTTAGCTCGGAATACCAAGTGGACGACCCGCCGCGCCTGGTGCTGGACAAGCTGGAGAAGATGGGCTTCCGCGTGCTGTCCATGACTGGAGTGGGACAGACGCTGGTGTGGTGTCTACACAAGGAGAACGAGTGACAGATGGTGGATCCACTGAAACCCTTTTTTTTTTTTTTTAACATTCGACAGTTAGATTCACAGACATTTTTCAAGTGAGAATAAAGTTCTTGAACTGAGATTATCTCAGATTACGCTGCACTGGTGATCAGACCGGACAATATCCCAGAGATTTTCCCAAACTCTGTCCATATGGTTTAGTTTTTTTACTGCGAGGTCAAAATGTGACCGTGGAGGACTGCGAGGCATCCTCCCCGTAGCTGTGATTGGATCGTAGGACTGTATTAAAGGCAGAGCTTTATTGTCATCTCGTGCAAATCTCCTGTCTTTCTTCTCAGTAAATAAAACACTGCTAGGTAACTTTGTACTGCGCAGAGTTTATCATATGCTTGTGATTAAATGATGTCATGATATGGATTGCTTTGTGTACTCGTTAATAAAACAGTGTGCGATCCTCCTGAGCTGAACCACAGACCAGATCCAACACGTATGCTGCCGTGTGGCGCTTCATCAGAAACGCTGCACGTAAACAATCATTTCAGGCGCTCTCGTCGTGAACCCCGGCGGCTCGGTGGCACCCGACGGAGATTGTTGCATGCAATGGGGCAAACATGGGCCCCCGAAAGACACTGGGTGGGTTTACAAGTCTGGGACCGACCCGGTTCACTTATCTGCAGAAGCGTTTGTCGGCGAGCTCACAGCCAAACTCTTAGATTAGATCTGCTGCTTCACATGTGACTTTGCTCTAATCCCAGCACCGAAGATCAAAGTAAGGGGTGCTTCCCCGTTCTGTGACCGCGGGGATTCCTATTTGCGTACAGTGACGAGGCGAGTTTGTGTGATGATTCAAAAGAACAGAGGACGACGCTAGGAAGATTCCGAGGCCTCGTCGTCAAAGAACATCGCCGCCGTCATCTCGTGCTGGTTTGCACGCAGCACAAGCCACGGAGCGCTGAGGGCACGGTTAGTGGTGAATGTGTTTCCTGTAATTGTACTTCCTCTGTTGTCATTTGGACAGAGTTTGTGTGTTACAGGGGTTTTTTTTTTTTTTTTTTTTTTTTTAAACATTGCCGGGATGTAAAAAAGGCTACACATAAACCAATCCATGTGATGGGGGGGATTTTGCAAGAAGAGAGGAGCAGATGTCTCCCACTACACCGTCCCACAGCTGGACATTGTGCAACATTGAGCCGCAGCGATGCGGAGCAGCAGCGTTTAAAAGATGGATAGCTGGGGTGGATGTAGCAAAGCTGCCATGAGTCTCCTAAATAACACAATGACAGGAAGCGAGCAACACCACGCATGGCCAAAAACACTGACACATCATTACACCACCACCGCCCCGGAGGACGGGGGAAGAGAACTCTGGACGAGCAGACGTTCTACAGGCAGAGAACAGCGTTACTCAACTAAATGTGACCACAACATCCTGGCACTGTAATGTCCTGACTTATCATGTGGGCCACAGAGTGTTGGAGTGCCACTCTGTCGCAAAGAAGGAAACAGCTTAGGTCAGTAATTGTGGATGAAGACGTTTTTGAGGTCAATATCTGACAAATGACAGGACGAAATTCAACAGAGCTGAAGGTAAAAAAAAAAACAAAAAACAAAAAAAACACCATAGATTATATTAAAGAAGTGGACAGGACTACATAGTTCCAGACTTTATGATAAAGAATATCCCAGAAAATCTGGATTCTGTAATGAAATACAACGATGTTCTAGTTTCTACCAATTACTCAGTGTAAAATCTGTCCCAGTTTAGTTGAACAAAACAATCACAGGAATTGAAGAAAGGCATACATTAAGATCTCGTTCAAGTATTTATGTCATTTTTAGCTCCATCTGCTGCCACCTACTGGAGGAGTATTTAATTGTTCTGCCTGTCTCTTGTATAAATGAAGACAAATTATTTGCAGTGAATAAATACTAGTTTCAGATCAACTCAGCGAACAGTGGTTGTGAATCAGCACCTCCTCCTCCTACACCAGTGGTTGTGAATCAGCACCTCCTCCTACAGACACACGCACACGTCGCACACTCACAGCTAGCGCTTCAATAATCCATTCAACTTCTAATCACTGTAAGTCCCGCCAAGCTGAAAACAACGTCGAACAACGGAAATAAAAATGCAAATATGTCCAACTTCACCACCGCAGCATAAATACAGAGAATTCTAGAATCGACTTGTTCTTTGTGATCTAAACAAACGCACTATTTGTTGAAAACAATCAGGTTTCTCCTCCAGCGGAATATTTTTAATCAGACCAAGGAAATTTTACCCACACAATACACAAAACCACACTCATTAGGTAATCATTTAGTATTATTAAGTCATTCTTACTAGACTCCAGGAATCAAAGCTTTTTCAGGCTTTTTGACCTCAAAGTAGTTCCTGCATTTGCATAGAGAGTCCCGTAATAAAACAAAAAACAAGGGGATTGTTTTCATCCGTTTTGAAAAGGCCCACATGTCGTTGGAGAGTAAAGTTTTGTGCTAAGGATGTTTATCCAGTTTTTTTTTATTAGGATTCATGGTTACTTGTCAAAGACCCTGTGCCAACACTTCACTTAGAAGACCAGGCCAAATCAAAAAATCCTGTGCTCCGCTGCTTTCGCACACAGGGCATCGCACGGGCATCTTAGGAGATTCATTTTGTCAAAGATTTTCATTGATATATAAAGAAAAACAACCATTCATACCCACATTCAGACCTATGGCGAATTCAGAGAAAACGTTTATAATTAGGGATGCCCGATATTATTGGCCCGATATTAGCATAATTATGTAATATCTGTAGGAATTGGTATCGTTTTTTTCCCCTTGGATAAGAAAACCCGATAATGCAATGCCTGGGTTTTAGCCAAGTGATGTGTGCATTTAAAACAGTTCTGGGGGAAAAAAAAACAGTTGTATATAAAAGTCACTAGATGGCAGCATTGCAGCTCATTTTAATAATCTATTATAATAATCAAGGGATTACAATAAATATACAAATAAATATAAACCAGACGCTTAATAGTATTTCAATTTGGAAGGATTTGGGGGGGGGGGCATGGTCAAAAATAATTCCGAAACACTGCTTTAACTCCATTACCTTAGTGAGCAGGTGGCACTTAACTTCCGTAAACCACCAGCCCACCACTGTCCTGCTATATCGGTACTGGTTGATATCGGAATCGGAAATTAAGTGTTTGGACAATATCGGCTACAACATCAGATATCGTCAAAAAGTTAATATCATACCGTCCACAGACACAAACACACCATGGAATCTGTCCTCTACAACTGACCCATCCCACAATTAGTTCCCACCGGGGCTCAAACTGATGATCGACCACCATTCCACTGTGTCATAGAAACTCTGACATCGTACAGACGTAAAAATATTCAGCGTAAAATCTTGGTCAGTCTGGCATAGAACTTTAGAAACACCGTACACCACGTCCACGGAACAATCACAGAAACCACCAGACCTACAATCATCTCTGGAGTATGTTCACTATTCATCACATGGGACCACAAGAACTGCCATTACCTAGTCTACTTAGTGCCCAGATTTGTGGTCTGATTCCTGGGTTAAGACGGGGGCAAAATGATTTCTGCAGTTTGAACTGAAACTCCACTGTGTTATTAAATGATTATGCAGGCAATGCAGAAAGAATGGCTTTAACACGACACTGGGTTGACTACAACCATGAGGTAATGAGATGTCGCAGCTCATCATACGAGACCTGACAGATGTAAACTACATCACTACGCCGCTTTGATTACAGGACAGTCAGCTAAGTACTCATTGGATGCTAGTTCCAGGTGACACCACAGTAAATGTAAACCTGGACAATCTCCACTTTCAAAATAGGTGGTGCACTTTCAAAAAAATATGAAATAAACTAAAGTCGTACATTGGTAATCCACTAAAACATTAATAGGCGAGAAAAATATACAAAATATATTTAGCCTTTTTCAATGAATGTATGAAAAAGCTAAAAAAGGTTTGTACGTACAAGATTGGAAATTACAGTGCTTATTCAAATAGTATAGTGTAGTTAAATGTAAACAAATATGTAAATATATGCTACATATATACACACATACATGTGAATATATGTGTAAATATACATAGAATTATATAAGCATGTAGATATATATATGTATATATGTACAATATATATGTGTAGGTATATATACACAGTATATATGCATATATGTATCTATATGTACAATGTATATATGTGTGTATATATATATATATATATATATATACACACATATATACATTGTACATATAGATACATATATGCATATATACTGTGTATATATACCTACACATATATATTGTACATATATACATATATATATCTACATACATATACAGTATGTATATACACATACATATACACATATACATACATACATATACACATATATACATATAAAGATATGTATACATATATATATACATATATATATACAAACACACCCACATTTATTTCGTAGAGAATATTCTGGAGTCAATCTCATTGTGGTTTGATGGATCACAGTGCTGGAAAATATACTGATTGTTAAAATCCCCACACCGACAATTATTAAGATTGTTTAATAAATCATTGTTAATCACGTATAGTATGTGCGGAAACTGCAACGATTTGTCTAATTCCGTGCAGACTCGTCAGCCCAAATGATGGATGAGATGACGTCCAATAGAAACCACGAATGTTTCTTTCCAGACAATGAAAATATTTATTAACGTGTTAAAATAAAAACAATTAAAAAAAATAACAAAAAAAAAAAAGGAGCTGCAACAAAGACGTGTGACGTTCACTGAACGACCCGGTTACCGTCGTGCTACGACATGGCGCCTGCTTTCTCATCTTCTCTTTGCATTTGTTCGATGAGCTTCTGTCGCTCTGCAGCCTGCCTCATCTTCATCACCACCACACTCTCGTAGTCTCGCTCGTTTGTCAGGGAGCCCTGCAGGACAGAAGAAGAAGTTGAAGCAGAAACAAATTAATGGTAGAGAAAACACGATAAAGCAAAAAAAAAAAAAGTTTATGCAACGTCTAGACTCTTTTCTAGAAGGTAACCTTTTCTAGGATATTTTTAGCATGTCAGACGACATAAAATGATCTTAATTCAATTAATTTGTTTTGAAAAATATTATGTATTTACTGCAAAAATAGAAAATGAAAAAAAAGTCTTTATTTGTCTGTGAAACAGTGACAGACAGCAACAACAAAATACTCTTCTTTTTCTTTTTTCTTTCTTCAATTCCTGTGTTCAACTAAACAGATAACATTCACACTTGGTCAAAATCATTATCAGACAGCAGTTAAAAACAACGCTAAAGTAATATTGTATTTGTAATCATATTTTATCCTAAAAGACAAAATGCAAGAGTGTAATAACTGAGAAAAAAAAACAAAAAAGGAGAATGTCTGTATTTTACATCATCATCGCAGCAACATTTAAAAAGTGACTTCAGGCACGAAGCTGAAGACGCTCTGCAGCTTTCATCTCATCTACCATCAGCACGGCAGCGGGGGGAACATGCATGAGAAAGCAGACTGCAGAGTGACAGGGTAATTCCACCGCCTGAGATCATTAAATCCCAAAATGGGGGCTCGGGTTAGACCTGGCAGTCGCCCGGGTTTCGCACTCGGTGTCTGCATATGTGTGTGCGTGCGTGTAATTTCTTTAAGGGGATTGGACTTGGACGAGGATGGAGAGATTCTCTTACAGTTGGAGGTAAAACGTAGAAGGGAAGCCACTGGCTAATGGCTAATCAAGCAGGGTGGAACGTGGACCAGACGTCTTACACACACACACGAACCGAGGGGAACCACAAATACGTGATCACTTTAAAGGCTCCTTTTAAAAAAACGTACAGCTAAAATAATGCTGAAATGTGAACACATAACGTGCACTTGTATCAAGCATTATGGCGGGAGGGGGAGGTTTGAAAGGAGAGGGGAGTTGTAGGGAGTGTGGGGGGGCGGGGGAGTGTGTGTGTGTCTTCAGAGGAGGCCACTGTTTTACAGGATTATATCCAGGAAGTCTGCCGGGCCAAGGAAGTGTCTCTTTAATAAGACAGTGAGCTGCAGGAGAGATGGAGTGAGTGTGTGTGTGTGTGTGTGTGCATGAAACACTGACAGAGGCAGTGAGCAGAGAGAGAAGGAGGAGAGACAGACACAGAGTGAGAGTAATGGGATTGGGTGGGGGGGTGGGGTGGGGGGGGTGGTCTGCGGAGGAGAGGTAGGTTTTTATCAGTGACTGAGCTGAGGCATCTGGAAAACATCACAGGGACTCCAGCATCCGTGTGTTGAGAAAGAGAAGGTAAGGGTTGGGGTTGGGGGGGAGTTATCCGCGACTGCCCCCATCCCACCCCTGGATTGAGGAAAGCTGCTATTATCATTCCAGTAACGTGAGCTCGAGCCCTCGTCTGACATGTAACGGTGAAATATTGCGCAAAAACCCATCAGGTAAACAAATGAGTCGAGTATCTTTGTCTTTAAACAAAACACAAGTCAGTAACAGCCCCCTCCTGTCCCCACGGACACCGCATCCCCACTCTCCCCTGCCCTCTAGTGGCCACTGGAGGAAAATGCATCATTAATCAGTCTGAACTCTCCTCCACCCTGAGCGGTCACGGGTGGACTGGCCAATGGCGCGGGGGAATTCTGAGCATTCGCAGGTGCCTCATGGGCGACGCCGTGCATTTTTTGCACAGAAGTCGGGATGTTTCCTCGCCCCCGGGCGTCAACCCACAATGTAGATGTTTGGCCGATGCATCACCCGGGAACCAAACAGTTAGTGTGTGTGTGTTCGTTACATGTGTGTCGGAGCAACACTGCGGGCCGGAGACTGAGCAGGAAAACCACAAAACACAAACAACGGGCCCCCGTGCAAAAGCCAGGAGGGGAGGGGAGAGGGTCGGGGGGGTACGAGGCCAGGGCAGATGCAGAATAGTAGTAAAATGCCCAGGCACGCCAACACACAAACAAGTCCGGGATTAGTCAAGTGACATCAGCACATTACCAGACCTATAAACAGCACATCCCAAACTGACCTCAGGCCAGTAGTGACATCATGGATACCAGCAGAGCTGTGTGAATCTGTCATACTAACACACACACACACACGTGTACACACACTTGCAGGTGGTCACTGCGCTCCCCAGCGTAGCTTGTCTGCTTGTGTTTTTGACACCGTTCAATAGAGGTGGTTTGTAACGATGAATGATGGAGCGTTCTTCAGTGCTCCGTGGAATCGGAGAAGACGATCTGCTCGGAAGATCTTATATATTGGTTCCTTATGTTGGTGGATGTATTGCTGCGCCTGAAGTGGAATTGTATTCTTGGACAACAAGATACAAATCGTTGTTTGCTAAATGAGATCACACAGAGGGTCATCGATACTTAACCCGTTTCCAAAAAGCCTCGGTTTCTTACGCCATTTTTACGACACACTTGTGAACACGGAACATCTGTTGTCCCTGAGCAGCAAAGATCTGCAGATGGACTGCAGCGCTGATAAATACGAGGGCTGTCAAACGACTGGAATCTGATTTAACACAGTCCCCCGTCAATCAAGTCTTACTGTGATTGTAGTTAATCAGGATTAATCGGATGTTGTTAAACAGGACGAGAAAACTTTTGGTTTTTGGAGTTTTGTTTGTGACTAATTCAAATGACAGAGTTTATATTAGTTTAATTTTGATTATTTTATTTTATGTCATGCAGTATGTGTAGATAACGTGTGAACTGAGTACAGAATAATCTGATGACAATGACAGTGTTAAAGTTGCAGCCAGCTGAATTTAAATTTTCCGGAAACAAGTAGACTAAGTTAGTGGGGGCCTCCAGGGGGCGCTAGGAGGCGTCAGAAAATTAAAGGGAAGATAATTTAATTATTTTAAATTATATATATATGTATATATATGAATGTTACCCGAACACACCTTGTTCGACAGCTGCAATATCAGCACAACATCATTATCTGTGTAGACCTGGCAGTTGGCGCCTAAAATAAAGCTGTTCTTCTCCTCAAAATAGCATGTAGCTAGCTAGCGCAAAAATGGACAGGTTTTTGACAAGAAGGAGCAGAAATATATAAATACAAAAACTGATGTTTCTTTAATGATTTGGTAGCATTTTCTGAAGTTAGCAGAGGCTAACTAGCTTCCACAGCCAGAAGCTAATGTTGTTTGGTGGATCTGAGCGTGGAAACATTTTGAACTAGACGATCTGCACACATACTTTCGCCAAAATATATATATTTTACCAACGCGGAGACTGTAAATGTCTCAACGTTTACAAACGTATATTTAAAAATTGTAAAAAAAAACACACAAACAAACTGCATGTAGAGCTAAGTACCTAACTGCATGTCCACAAAATAAACCCTGACAAATGCGTCCAAAACTCTCTGCCAGTTTCTGCCACTAACAATCAAACTTCATGGACAAACCAGAAGAGTGAGGTGACTGCAAGTTTAAATGTGTCTACATATACAAGTACATATATACAGTATATATGTAGTTCAACACAGTTATAGCACTGGAGCAAACAGAGGGCTGTTGGACAGGGATGGAGCGTTTTTGGATTCTTCTAAAGTAAAGAAAATAAACGGTAAAAAGAGAAATGGCAGCAGGACCTGAACTCTTTATGCCCTGGCATTTTTCCTTTTGACGGATGAACTCCGGGATCCAAGAAAAAGGAGATGTGGGGGTTTGGCATCTTTAATATCCAATATTACATCCATGTAAAAGTTAAATTAAGTCTTTTACATCCTGCCTTCCTGGAAAAAGCCCTTTGATTGCAAAAGACTTCCCATTCAAACAAAAGGGGCCACGGGACTGGTAAGAATGCAGCACAAAACCTTGGGGATGTCAGAAAGAACTCACACATTACTGTATAAGGAAAATGAAATCTGGGTTCTCAGTGTGTACATGCTGCAGTTATGCTGACTCTGACATATCCACGATATTTGATACATTTATAGCAGAGCAGTTACAGTAAATTTAATTTAAGCAGCAGCTATACTTAGTCCGCAGAAAATAAGGTAAACTTTATAAACCTGATACTGCATTAAAGCAACCATTTCCTTTAGGCCGTGTCACTGAAACAATTCCAGTTCATTCTTATTTGTAAAGTATTAGCTTAAAATCATTGATCCTTAAACATGTGTCTGTTCAAATCCCATTTAACTGGAAACCTAGCAGAGTATCTAGTGTAGTAGTAGTGTGAGCGTGAGTAGCCAAGAATTTATAAAGAAAATATATGCTGTATATATTTTAAAAAAAATGGAAATAAAGAAAATATATGCTGTATATATTTTTTAAAAAATGGAAAAAAGACACCACCTACAGGTGGAGTTAGCCTCAAAATAGATTGAACGTGTGAGAGGAAGTCTTGAAATGCCTAGTTGTTGATAAAAATATGTTTTTCAACACCACAAAAAAATTAACTTTATTCTCTCACTTTCATGAGTATAAATATATATATATAAATATATATATATAAAAGTTCAAATAAAATACAGCATATAAAAATATCTGAGCTGGCGCTTCTTGATTGACGGCTGAGATCACGTGACTGCGAGTGAACTACTAACGTAGCCGTCTCTGGGGTTGGCAAAAAATATATATAGATCAAAATGTATCGTATCTTATCGTATAATTGTCTTAACCTACCGGACTTAAGTCTTCACCCTAAAAGAACACAGGATCGTTACATAAAATGATGTTTTTACTGTATTTCTGGGGCAGTAGTGGCTTAGTGGTTAAGGAAGCGGGTACCTTGGGTCCGGAAGGTCTCAGGTTCGAGTCCACAACTGCCAAGTTACCACTGAGGTGCTCTGAGCAAGGCACCGTCCCCACACACTGATCCCCGGGCGCTCAAAGCTGCCAACTGTTCACTTTCCTTTCCTTTTTTTTTTTTTTCCTATTCTTGTTTTCAAGAGTAAGCAGTTTTGCAATTTAGTATTACAAATAGATCCATGTTCTGTCAAGTCAAGGCCACGGACACTTGTGTTAAGCAGAGACACTTGTAGTGAACTCAGTGCTGACACTCACTGACACAGCTGCACCTCACAAACCAGAACCATTCCACTAAAGCGAAGTTTCCGCGTTGATTAGAGGCTACTGTGGGCCGCGTCAGCCGCTAATCACTAAACGGTATCAGGCCTGTACTCAGTGACCAGTCATGTGTCAGTCATGTAACTAGAGGTCTCTGTTTCCTCTGATCAAACCACCCGACGAGTTTCAGTTGGAGCGTTTTTCAAACGGCTCATCCCTGAGTCATAACTCTGCAGACGAGCGCCGATGACAACAGTGAGGATAATGATAAACGCTAGGTTTGGACGTTCTCACCAGAACTGATGAAAGCAAATACCAAAGAATTAGCAAGAACATTTACTACTACGGACAACTCTGCCGTCAGACATCGACTGCCAAATTGCATTTTCCTACTCTCATACTTCTCATTCTCTGGGTAATTTAAAATGAATTTGCTGAGTACAGTATGTTCTAGTTCTGTTGTCATGAACAATGTTTTCCATATAAAAGAATGAGACGGTGTAAATCTCGCCCTAAATGCAGGCTGACTGTGGGCCCCAGCGGAGCGGAAGCTGGAGAACACACAACAAAGGGGCCAGAAGAATATCCACCAAAGCCTCAGTTTGGGCTTCTAGCACCAGCCAAAGCAATATCTGGAAACACTTTTTTATCCTGTAATAACAAAAACATGCAACGTCCCAGATTTCAGACCCAGCATAGCTGCATCAAACCACACTGGCCGCTATGGTCAGGCCTTTGAAAGGAGGCATACAACAGAAATCCAGCGAGGGCTAAACACACATCAACTCAAGAGCCTGGATAGCATGACAACACAGCTAACAGAGCGCGGCCAAGCCTGGTCGGACGGCAGGTCGTGTGAGGTCACTCCCTTTTGCTGTTGATAACACCGGCTCTCGACGCTGATTGCCTTCTAGCATGAGAGCGGTTGTGA